TCTTTCTCGCACTCCCCACGGTCTGTCTCTCTCTCTCTCTCTCGCTCGCTCCGCCGCCACGGGTTAATAAGGTATCTATATACATGCATCAATGCTGCCGCAGCCAGGCACACAAGCATGCACTTGCAGCGTTTCAATAAAATGTAATGCTAAATAAATACAAAATCTATTTACTACGAAAGTCACCGCGGCGCAAAAACTCCCCGAGCCAGCGTTTGTTGGATATAGTATTTCAACCATGCCCGGCCGCCACGTGAGCCCGGGGGAGGAGGGAGGCTGGAATTTCACGTTCCGCCGTCTTCGTAAAAACATGACCCCTGTCTTCGTTTTCAGACCCCTGTCTAAGGTATCTGTCTAAGGGGACAAAAAGGGCGCGCAAAAACCGGGGCCGCAAGTCCGTCAAGGCCACCACCCTGAAATTCAATGTGGCTTTAGAAAGGGTAGAGGCACAGTGGACATGATCTTTGCTGCACGACAGTTGCAGGAGAAATGCCTCGAGCAGAACAGCCAGCTCTACACAACATTTGTGGACCTCACGAAAGCATTCGACACAGTTTAGTAGCTCGACGGTCTTTGAACGATCATGGCTAAATTTGGCTGCCCGGTAACATTTATCACCATGGTTAGGCAGTTTCATGATGGTATGACAGCCAAAGTGCTTGATGATGGTGAATGCTCTGACCCATTCCCCGTAACGATGGGGTTAAGCAAGGATCTGTTTTAGCCCCTACCCTGTTCAGTATGGTGTTTGCGGCCATGCTATCCGATGCCTTCCTAGTTGGTGATCCTGCAATCCACATCAGGTATGGAACAGATGGAAAGGTGTTTAACCTTCGCCGACTAAGCCATCACCAAGGTTAAGGAGACAGTACTGAGAGATTGAGACTTTGCTGATGACTGTGCTCCTAACACCCACACAGAGCCAAAAATGCAGACCACGATGTCCAACTTCTCGTCAGCTTGTGACAGCTTTGGCCTCACAATCAGCACAAAAAACACTGAAGCCATGTTCCAGCCGGCTTCTAATCAGCCCTATGTAGAACCATCAATTTCCGTGAATAGACAGAAGCTCAAGGCTGATCACAAGTTTACTTACCTTGGCAGTACACGGCCCAAGGACGTTGTCATAGACGAGCAAGTAAACTGTAGACTAGAAAAGACCAGTGCGAGTTTTGGAAGACTCCGCACATTTGTCTGGGATAGAAGAGGCATCAGTACCACAACCAAGATCAAGGTCTATCATGCAGTTGTTTTGACCGGTTGTGAAACTTGGACAGTGTACAGCAGGCACGCACGGAAGCTGAACCACTTTCACCTAAACTGCCTGCACAAAAGTGCATTTTGTGGTATAAACCCAGGACGCAATCTCTCTCTCTCTCTCTCTCTCTCTCTCTCTCTCTCACTCGCGCTCTCCCCCCTCTCTGTCGTAACTGCAACTGTGCAAGCGTACTACAGTTTTTGCATGTGCATTATATTATGCTGCCACACTGTTACAAAGGTGCAGCGAGGCACTGATGACATAGCCTGATAACCCGCTGTAGGAATCGCACACTGTCGATACTGGTGGCAAATAACTATAGGATTAGCCTGCAGGTATAACCACCCGAATATATTCGCAATACACAAAAGTAACATAAGTTCAGTCATACAAACATCTTGTCTGCTAAAGCACTATGCTAGTAACACCTATTTTGACTTGTATGAATAGTGTGCACCCAGTATTTACACGATGCGAAACTCTTTATACCACGAGAGCAGAATACCCATTGCTCTCAGTTCATATCAACACAGCGCGACGATATCAAGCAACCAGATGTACATCATGCGCGTCATTGCGACGTCACCGCTCACGAGCCAAGCATTTTCAGGGAGGGGGTGCTTTGCGGACTTACTTTTCTGCGATTTGTGCTTTACTGATACTGTTTAGACTTAATCAACTTATTACTCTAGGTACCAACTAGATTATTGTATGTGAACAATCAAATTGAGTTACTTTAGCTGAAAAGCTCGACACTTATCCTGATTCCTTTAACAACAACACATTACGTGTCACTGCATTCACTATGGCCAGGCCATGGACATGGTTAGTCTGCGTGTGACGTGACTGTAAGCCGAATTGCTCCAAGTGACTGTGAGCACAGGAGCAGAGGACAGCGTTATAATAAAGTAATCAAGAAATAATTGAATGTGCATCACTAGCAGTGGCACTGCATCATGCATGTGGAATACTCATACTGTACCTTAACCCAACCAGGCTGTGTGACTAACGTCAATAATTATATACACAGGTCCCCTAACCCTAGCTCTAGTACTATAGCCCGCGGATCGCTGCCGCAGCGATCCGCGGGCTATAGTACTAGAGCTACCCTAGCTAACCCTTGATACAATAATGTAACCCAAACACAGGATAGCCGATAGGGCTATCCAGTATCCTGTGTTTGGGTTACATTATTGTATCTACCCTAACCCTAGCTCTAGAGAGCGCAGGTCTGCTAACTTGTTTGGTGGGTGCAGTGGGTAGGAAATGCAGACGACTCCCAACACATAGTCATCGTCGGCCGCCAGGGTACCAGCTACAGTGGCTGCTGCGCGGGCGCCCATTGATCTACCTGTAAGCACATGCATGCAATATCTTAAGATCCCCACAAAAAAAACATGCACACTGTGAAACAACTGTTCGACTGTACACAGATAGTTGTGCCCTGCACATGGTTACCTGTTTGTTCGTGGCTGCATTTCCAGGTAAATGACTGTATAGTAGAGTGATAGTATTGTATACCATCAACAACTTGTGTTACATTAAAACCACAATATTTTATGGTGCTTCTCGGTTAGGTTATGGAAAAAATCTGAGGATCACGGTTTATTGATAATTTACACAATATTTAGAAAGTAGAATTCCATGTCTAAAAATACAAACATCTTAACAAGTTAACATATATATACCGACATCTTTATTAACGTAGATTATTTCATTTGCATTTAAAGAAGTTTAGCATGATAGTAGCTAAACAATTTTTACCTGCTAAAAAACAGCCTTTAAAAGTTCCCATTTCTTTGAGACGGTTCTGTAAAAGTGTAACATCACATCCCTATTGTAAATGTATGTGAAACACCAACTAATTGGTATGCTACATAGTAGCTGCATTATCACCATACAAAACAGCTTAATTTATGTTTTAAAATTTATATTTACAAATTGCATCTTTAGCTGCATGAATATAGAGAATCATACAGAGAACCATATACTAATTACAAACAAAACAATTCTAAAATATGATTCGACCAAATAACTGAGCAAATAATGGCAAATTATTAACTACCATGTAATTTCACATCACCACCGCTGGATGAACGGTAGGTGTCTCATGTAAAGCAGTGATACCTACTAACACAGTTTCGTATACTCTGCTCCTGTGAACCAGATTGAGCCCTTTACAAGTGAATCGTAAGCAACTGATGCCGTTCTCTGCCAGTATGCCTGCCATCTCCACTAACTGCTTGTAATTCATGTCTCCTCCAGCCCCATGTGTGAGAATGAACGCCACCTCTGCGGTGAGAGACGCTGTCGGCTGAGGATGGGTGAGGATGGCGGCATATTCCTTCCCATTGCACGAGATGACAAGATTCTCCTGCAATTATGCATGCAAGCAGTTGCTGTAGTGATGACCAAAATGCAGCTATGGCCCTGCAGCATAACATCAAAGGATTAGTGTCGAGCTTTTAAACCTCAAAATATCCCAGTCACACTTAAATATATCATAGATATATTTATATCCTTCAAGTATGTCAAAAAATCTTATTATACATTCGAAATCACCGCGCTGCGATAAGAAATGCCTGAGCGCTGACGTCACGCGATTACTCGTGCATGACGTAGAAACAGCCGTGAGCGGCCGCCGCAGCCACAGGCACTTGGGACAGTCAGTAAAAACTGACCGCATCGTACCAAATTGTAGACGTTATACACGTCTATAATATAAGACCGCCTACAGACGTATACGTACGACAGTTTCCGGCTAAGGCACTCAGACGTTATACCGCGTCTGAATACCGCACGTACCAGACGCTTATACGTCCTAGGCCGCGTGACAGGACGTGTTACGCTACAGACCTTATACCGCGCGTACAGACGTTATACGCGCGTGCAGACGTTAATACCACGCGTACAAACGTTATACCGGCGCATACTACGACGTTATAAGCCCGCGCGTACAAGACGTTATATACGCGGGCGTGGCAGACGTTATACCCACGCGTACAGAGCGTTATACGCGCGTACAGACGTTATAAGCGCGCGTACAGACAGTTATACCCGCGCGCTACAACGTTATACCCGCGAGTACAGACGTATACCGCGCGTACAGACGTCATACGCGCGTACGAGACGTATATACCGCGCAGACGACGTATACCGCGCAGACAGACGTCATACCGGCGCGTACAGACGTTATATCCGCGCGCTACAGACGTTATACCGCGCGTACAGGACGTTATACCGCGGTGACAGACGTTATACCGCGCGTACAGACGTTATATCCGCGCAGACAGAAAGTTATACGCGCAGACACAGACGTGATATAACCGCCGCGTACAGACGTTGCGTAACACAGCAACGCGCAACACCGCAACGCGCAACAACTCGACGCGAAAGTCACGTAACTGCAGATTATTGCAGGAAGGCCTGGTGGTAACGCTACACTTAGAAACAAACGCAGTGACTTTATAACCACATTTAATTAAGGGTTGAAGTGTCTTGTACAAACTTTTTAGCAATTAATTGGACTTTTTCTAATGCGATCCACAGTATGATGCTGTCTGTTTGATCAACTTTGTCTCTTTTCGTCTTCGATATAGTCCCTTGGCCTTATACGATGAAAGTTGTCCGGAAGGGGTCCGTCTTAGATCGACCCAACAGTAAAGCTTCTGCACTTACAAGATCTATAGCAACTCTAGCTCGGAGCCCACAATCTTCGGAGATGCGAGATGTCGTACAAAGTACTTCCCTCATCTTTGTATGGTGCGCGACGAAGATCACGTTCAGCCGCGATTGAAAACGCGCAATGACATAGCACTGAATAGGTTCTCCGACGAGTCAAGCTGACAATGATTTGTGCCTTGCAGAGCAATTGGCTCGCGAAATTTTCAGCCTGGTTCCGAGAGAAACGGTCAATTAACTGTCAATAACAGCAACAACATTGAAAAGAAAATTGAAGACGTGAAGAGCCACTTAGCAGATCACTGCAGTTCCTGGTGGCGGAAAGTGGCGGCAGTATCGATGAATTGGAAGCAGGGTGAAAAGGCATTTACACCGTAGAGAACAGCTGATCAAAACTGCCTACACAAGAGGCATGAGAAGAAAACCTACCCCGCTATCCACCCGACGAACATCCACCAACGAGCTCATTTGTACCGATAACAATATATATGCAGCACTGCAAGGAAATCCCTTACTGTAAACGGCGTTTTAATGAGCCAGAGAAGCACTGAAATATGGCCGTAGTAGAGTTAATTAATCAAATAAGTTATAAACAGTAAACTAATTAAAATTTACAACTTGGCAAATTAATAATAAATAACAATCAAATAAAAGGCAGGTCTCATTAAAAATATCATAGGGTTTCCTAGATCAAAATTAGGTTATATTTTGACTGTAGGCCTTCACTAAACAATGAAACACTAACACATTGTGTATAGAAAAGAGTTTGGTATTTCTCCATGCAATATGTACAAATACATCATACTTCAAAAAATATATCAATAATCAACAGTTATCTCGCTACCTACAATATAATTAATATATTCATTCATTATGCATGGCCTAAATTATATTTTCAATCTGAATCACAATAATGACAGTGGACCATTATCATATGATGTTAAAGCTTTATAATCAATCAATAAATTTTAATATTCAAACACAAAATGTAATTCGGCATAGGCATAATCACAAGTTAATTTACGGACCATACTAATTGCCTTGTATCAAAAGAATCGTTTTTAAACACACACATTAGTAGCTTCAATTAATAGAAATACACGGTGAACCCCGCTATCAGTCTGAGCCTAAGTAAACAGTGCATGCTTGCACTCTTTGAATCTTCTAAAAAATATTTGTCGTAGAAATCAAGTATGAGTTCTTCAGGTTGAAAGCCAAAGCTTCTTGGTAGAGCAGGAGAGATGGATTGGTGATAGACAGCTGCAACGTTACATCTCTTTCCTAACAGGTCTGAAATCATTAGAAATATGAAATTATTCAGGAGAAAACTATCCGAGAGAGAGAGAGAGAGAGAGAGAGAGAGAGAGAAGAGAGAGAGAGAGAGAGGAGAGAGAGAGAGAGAGAGAGAGAGAGAGAGAGAGAGAGAGAGAGAGAGAGAGAAGAGAGAGGAGAGAAGAGAGAGAGAGAGAGAGAGAGAGAGAGAGAGAGAGAGAAGAGAGAAGAGAGAGAGAGGAGAGAGAGAGAGAGAGAGAGAGAGAGAGAGAGAGAGAGAGAGAGAGAGAGAGAGAGAGAGAGAGAGAGAGAGAGGAGAGAGAAGAGAGAGAGAGAGAGAGAGAGAGAGAGAGAGAGGAGAGAGAGAGAGAGAGAGAGAGAGAGAGAGAGAGAGAGGAGAAGAGAGAGAGAGAGAGAGGAGAGAGAGAGAGAGAGAAGAGAGAGAGAGAGAGAGAGAGAGAGAGAGAGAGAGAGAGAGAGAGAGAGAGAGAGAGAGAGAGAGAGAGAGAGAGAGAGAGAGAGAGAGAAGAGAAATCAGAAGAAGTAACACGCACTCATCATTTAATAATATTGACGATAAATGCATGTTAAGAGAAAAGACCAACTAGCAATCGTGATGATAGTTAAATGTGTTCAAATCTTGATAATGCTCACCTGTATGAGATGATAAATCATGAACGTGGCGATGCTCAGCATTCCTCCACTCCGGATGAGTGAACAGAAACGAAATGTACGCTTCGTTGTACTTCACATCCGGCGTCATGAATCCAAAGCCTATCACCAGCTTCCTGTAGAGCACAACACGCTGAAGTCCGGGTATTGCAAGCACTCTGACACTAAGAAAAGGAACGCACGTCTCAGATCACACAAGTAGAAAAACATTCAATCGATGAAAACCAACCTATACTGCACGGTGATTAGAGAACAACAGAAGAGTAGATGTGATATACGGGATAACGACGTGGCTGAAACTGGACACATCTTGCGCGCATATTGAAATTTTATTCTAATGAAAAGTGCAGAAAGCCAAAATTGCACACATAATAATTTCGTGCCGTACTAAAACAGGCAGCATACACATTTAAATGAACTTACTGTCTATATCCGGCCAGAAAAACTCCCGGCATAGCGCATTTACAGATGGAATGTGCTGAGGTCGGACATAAACAGTAGTCTATGGGGCCTGTGGGTCAACCTTCCAACCGGATCATTCCTAAAATAATTGTACATTAGACTTCACAGTATAAAAATTCCATGGGGCAGCAGCGCTCACTCAATAGCTATCTGCTTTGGTGCTGGCACGGTCACTGCTCATTTTTTATTATTCACAGGTTGCTCCACCTTTAGCTATAGCTTCAGTTCGCATTCTAAATATGAGAAATCCATGTTCCAATTTCTAGCCCTCCTATTGAGGACAATACACCAGGCCTCTTCGCTTTGGATGCTATAGTGACCATGTCATTCCAAGCTCATATTAATATAAGAATGAAAACATGTCTAACCATTTCAATTCAACTATGTTCTGACGGAAAAGACACGTACCAGTCTTCTTGCATTTGGAACCTTAAAGCCCCTAGTTGTATTTTGACTCTTTAGCCCTGCCTTTGAACTTGAGCGATGTCTTCTATTTTACTTAGTTGAAAACCACATAATAGTTTCCTTTTATGTGTGCAGCGGGCATAATCAACGTTTCTGTTATCTACATACTTGTGCCCATATGCAACAATCTCCTCCAGTAGCTTTAACTTGAGTGGCTTTGTCTCACAGTCCCGCCTAATGAAAGGCTTCAGCACTCTAGATCAGAAACACAACAAAAAATCATGAGTACGAAGTCAAAAAACAATATATTAAACAATTAAGTGCCGCGAGCGACAGCGCTCATCTCACGTCTACTGCGTGACTTTTGTGGTGGAGTGGTGGGATTCTAGTAAACCCTGTTAGTCCCAAATGTGTTCACATACGCACCGAAACAGTGGAAGGCACAGGGATGGTATCAGGAACCTTCTCGAAGGAATGTTCGTTGGGATCGTTATGAAAGTTGCCACGAGATGGCGCGTACGTTTAAGTGTCTTTAGGGTCCCTATATACAGAGAGTTGCGCCAACTCAGGATTTGACTCCATGTTGTTTCCAAATGGATCAACACCGCTGCCGCTTAAGTACAGCGCTGTATGGATACGCTGTACAATGTCCGTAGTAATTAATTAGACTAATGCGTGCTTCAATAAACTCAAAATTTACAGAGATATAGCTAAGACATGTGTCTATCTGTATCTAGATTTCTAAAAATGTAACTCAAATCGTTTCGCGCGATATGATAGTTAATTGTACACTTTCTTACCGCCCATAGCCGTGCGTATATTAACCTGTGCGATACCGCGCGTAGATACTTGCTAATTAATTAAACCACTCGCGCTTCAATA